GTGCTGCGGGGAGGGGGCTGGCGGCTGGTGCGTGGGCGCTGCGGGTGGGGGGGGGACCGTGTGCCCGGCGTGGGCGGCAGCGCTGACGTGGGAGCGCACAGCGCGACGCGTCTGTCCCCGCGCGGTGACGGGGCCGGGGTGTGGAGGGGGGAACGGTCAGCACTGGGGGGGCTCTGCAGGGGGCTCCAGTCCATCGAGGGCTCCCCAGCCCTAGGGGGGCGGCGGGGGCGCGGAGCCGGGCGGGATGAAGGTATTGCTGCTGCGGGGAGTCGCATCCCGCCGCGGCTGAGGTAACACCAGAGCGTCGGTGTGGGACGGGAGGGGGTCGGGGGGCTGTGGCTGAGACCCCCCCCTCCGCAAGCTCCCCGGGCCCGGAGTGCCGCCGCACCCGTCCCCCAGCACGTTATTGCTTCGTTAATGGTGGCGGGGGGCTACAGGGGCCTCACTGCCTGCTGGTCTCCTGCTCCACCTTGATGGTGCCCCGAGGGGGGTCTGGGGGGGCCGGAGGACCCCGTTCTGCCAGCCCATCCTCGAACTCTGTGGGGAGAACACGGACATGGCGTCAGGACACGATTCCACAGAAGAAGGCAGCGGTGCCACCCTGACCCCTGCCCACGGCGAAGCCCCCCCGGCGGCGCGGGGGCTCACCTGGTCCCGGGGGCTTCCCCGGCAGGAGGGGGCTGAGCCTCCCCACGCGCTCGTGCGAGACCAGGCGGGCCAGGCGCAGCCCCTCGTCCATCAGCGTCTGCTGGAGGATGTGGCGGCTCCAGAGCCCGTGGGGCGCGAGGCCGAGGGGCACGTCCGGGGCCGCACCGGGCGGAGGGGTCAGCCGGGGACAGGCCCCCGCCGCTGCCGAGAGAGGGGTGACAGTCAGCGCCAGGAGCCTGCCACCGCCAGCCACCCGCGAAGGAAAGGGACCCCCACTCACCCTGCAAGTGGCCGTCGAGGCTCTCCCCGGAGAGGCTGCCCGTGTCCTCCTCCAAGCTGGCTCGGTACCCGGCCCCGGGGGGCTCCAGCCCCACCGACAGTGCCAGGAGCTCAGGGCGGCTCTGCTCTCCCGCCTGCCAGAGCACACAGGTGAGCAGATCCCCCTGCACCACCCACCCCACAACACCCGCGGCCGTCACCCCGAGCTGGCATGGGCAGCCCCGGGCACGTTTCATGTCGCGCCCACGCTCGCAGATGTGCGCACCTGCACACGCTCCCCCTGCACCTGCACCCACCTCCTGCTTGAGCCGCTTGGCCACGATGGCACCGCTGTCCTCGGGATGGGCCCTGGGGGTGGAAGGAGGCTGTATCAGGCGTGGGGGTGGCCACAGCAAGGCCCCACATTGTAAGCGGAGCCACCAGGCAGGGCAATGCCAGAAGCCGGGGTTCTGGCACGGATGGAATCGGGGGCGGAAAAAGAGGGAAGCAGCTGGAGAGCAAAGGGAAAAGGCAGCCCTGGCACGGTGGGCAGGGGGCTTTGGGAATGGAGACAAGAGATGGGGTATCCCCAGAGGCATCCCTTTACTGCCTGGTGTGCCCCCCCCCCCACGCCTGGCATCCCCGTCATTCCCATCCTCCCCACCTCCCACGCTCCGAGGTCAGGCAGAAACCACCCACGCTGCCAAAGGGGAACTGGGGGCCGCACGGTCCTGGCCCCATCCAGAAGCGCTGGATCACGGTGCAGCTCCCGGGGTGCAAGGGGGTGACAGCCAGGTCCCCCCAGGCCTACGAGGTGGGGGTTTCCCACGTCTGGGCTCACCTGGCAACCTTGAGCGAGGACAGGTAGGTGCTCTCCCGTGCGACCTGTCGTGACAGCGAGAAGAGCTCGACGCGCCGCAGCAGCAGCGAGTTGTCCCGCAGGCAGAACTGGGCGGCCGCCTCGTTGATGATGAGCTGGGGGCAGAGATGATGTGTGAGCGGGGACAGGGACGGCAGCGCCCACGGGACAGCAGCGCCCACACGACCCTCGGCTAAGGCAGCACCAGCTCCAGGCTGGCAGATGCCACCTGAGTAGGAGCAGACCTCGAATCCCACCCACCCCCACCTCCAGAGCTGCCCCGGTCCCTGTCCCAACCCAGCACATCCCAGGAACTTCAAGCACGGAGCCCACCTCGTGCAGGGTGAGCTGCTTGCCCTCCCGGCGCCGGGCCTCGCCGCGGCCGTAGATCGCGCTGTGCCGACGGATCTCCTCCTCCTTCTGCCGGTCACCGTCCTCCAGCTGGAAGATGTGCCCCACAGCCTTGGCCAGCTTCTTGTTGAGCTTCATCAGCGCCCGCAGCTCGGCCTCGCCGCCCCGGGGGCAGCTCTGCAGCAGCCGCTCCACGCTCTCCACCACCGTCCGTGCCAACTCCGGCTCCAGCTCCGTGCCCACCGCTTGCTCCCCGCTGCTCCCGCCCGGGGAGAAGGGGGGACCCCCCGGCTCCTCATCCCCACCACCCTCCGACTCGGGGGTGCTCCTTCCCGGCCACGGTGGAGCCGCTGACGGTGACAGCTTCTCCCCTGGCTCCGTGGGGCTGCGGGCCGGGGGCGTCCCGGCACTGCCACCCCCTTTGCCCGCGGCCTCGCTGGGGCTGGCGTGCCCGTTGCTGAGCGCCTTGCGCCCGCCGGCCTCAGAGAGCTTGAAGAGCGGGATGCTGCTGACCGGGACAGCCGAGACGGGCTGGCTGAAGAGCCCCGGGTTGGAGGCCCATTCACGCAGGGCCTTCTGGAGGCGGCGGACGTGGAGGGGCTTGGTGGCCATGCCCACCAGCGCCATGATCTCCAGGAACTCCTCCTCGCCCGCCTCGCAGAGCTGCTGCACGTCGTCCCCCCCTTGCTGGATGAAGGTCTCGTAGTAGCCCAGCAGGTTGGCGCGTTGCAGCACCCGGTACAGCTGCAGCTCCCCCAGCGTGCGGGGCAGGGCCATGGCGAGCCTGTGGTGGACAGAGGACAGACGGACTCACCACCGGGACGGACAGTCATGCAGGAGAAACCCCCTCCCCACCCTTGAGCCTAGGGATAAAGGGCAGAGGGAGCACTCCCGTGTACGGGTGTTCCAGTGTCCTTAAACCCCACGGGGCGCCCAGTCCCACCCATGTGCTCCGGGCTGGGACGATCCCTGCAGCCACAGCCCCGGGACATGGCACAGACATGAGTGGGGACACCCGCATCCCAGCCCAAACCCCCTACCCCGGGCTGTGCCCAGCCTCTGCCCCCCCCTGCAGCCCCTCCACGCCAGGTCCTCCTGTGGGGCAGGACACACGTGGGGCTTCCCCCAGCCCCGGGGATGATGTGCCAGTGCCAATTCCACCACGACCAGCATTCCCCAAGCCCCCTGCCCTGCCCTGTTCCTCTGTGGTCCCCTGGATCCCATCAGGGCCATCCTTCCCTGGTGACCCCGCCCCGCTCGGTGCCCCCATCCCCGCCCCGGTCCCACCAGGGCGATCCTCCCACAGCGTCCCCGCAGCTGCTTGATGCCCTCCAGTGCCCCGAACCCACCCTGTGCCCCATCCCCCTCATTCCTCCCAGACCCACCGGGGTCATCCCTTTCCGGGCTCTCTGTCCTGCCCGGTGACCCCCGGTGTTCCATCCCCCCCTCCGTCCCCACCGTCCCTCTGTGCTCCCACGGTCCCATCGAGGCCATCCCCCCACGAGCCCCCTACCCCGCCCGGTACCCCCCGGTGCTGCGGTGCCCCCGGTCCCACCGGGACCATCCTCTCCGCGTGCAACCCCGCGCCCCGTACCCGCCCGGAGCCCCGTGGCCAACACCCCTTGGACCCCCGGCCCTGCCCGCTGGCCCTCGCTGCTCCGTCCCCCTGCGGTGCCCCCAGTCACACCATGGCCACCGTTCCCCGGGACTCTCGCCCTGGCCGGTGCCCCCCGGTGCCCCGTCCCCTCCCCGCCGTCCCCCGCTCGCTCACCGCCGCCTGGAACCGCCTCCGTCCGCTCCGCCCGCCCCGCCGGGCGGCCGGGGAGGGGCGGGGGGGCTCCGGGGCCGGCTCTAGCCGGGGGTCCGGGGGGTGCCGGGGCTCGGGGGTCCCGCGGCCGGGCCGGGCGCGCTCCCTCCGCCGCGCCGCGCCGCTCTGCGCGCCGCCCACACGGGCGGGACCGTGAAATAGCAGCGGCCCCGGCTGCGCCGCGCGTGGGAGGCCCCGGGGGCGGATCCCGCGGCTGCCGCCCCCGCCGAGCGCGGGGGGGGGGGCAGCAGCGGGGGCGGCGGCACCGGCCCCCCTTCTTTCCCCCCCGGCACCGGAGCAGCGGGAGGGGAGCGGGAGCGGCGCCCCGCACGGCGGCATCGGGGGTCCCGCAGCCCCGGCAGGGAGCGGGGAGGACACGGGGGGGGTCCGTGGGAGAGGCACAAGCCCCCGAAAGGGACGCGGTGCCCGGTGTCGGCGTGGAC